TACTGCTTCTGTCACAAGAAAACTACAGGTAATTCATACATTTTAACATACAGATCAACAGCCTTTCTCAGTCTGCATACCTTGTATTAGTGATGCCTGCATGCACAGTTTTATACTGCATTATTAATTAAACCATTGAAGTACTGCATGTAAGTGATTTCTGGATTTAATGTTATTGGGTTTTAGATGCTGTAACAGATCAAAAAGTCCAACCGAAAAGAAAAAATACAGTTGAGGTATGAACAATACAAACACTCACGTTCATTATGGACACTCAGTCTGTATTTATCTGATGTGCTTTTGAAAAATATTTGTTTGATAAAAGCTATAGAATGTTAAACAGGTAATATATAAAGAATAATTGGAGAGAACAGTTAATAAAACAGCTTAGGGTTTAGACCTGAATATTATGTCATGTACTTTTTATTCCAGGGTGAAGATGAAGAGGTGTGCTATGCGTCTTTAGATGTGAAGACTAGAAGAAAGAATCAACGCAAGACAAAGCGAGTGCAGTGTTCAGACTTCAGTGCATATGCTCAGGTCAGGACAGAAAATGAATAGAGTTTAAAAACAACAACTGAAGTGCATTCAGGGATATAAAATTACTCAAAATGATTCTTAAGTAAAAGTACAAAGCTTTACTCAGTTAAAAGTGCAAGAATGCAGCAGAAAAAAAGACTAAACATTATAATTTTAATATTATAATTTTTTGTGTCAACTTTAAAAAAACTTAAATTGTACTTACAGAAAGTATAATATTTGTAAAAGTACATCAACCAAATAAAAATGTGAGGAAAATGTAGAATAAAACTCTAATGAAAGATTTTCATTTGCATTTAGTCTTGTGCTTCTGCTAAGCTAATTCAGCTAATTGATAACTGCTTTTAAAAAAGTTAAGAGAACACTTGAATTGTTTTTGTTTGTTTCATACTTTTAAGATCTGATAACGTTTCTTATTAAATTTCAGAGCAAAAATATTTTTACTTTAGACAACAAGAAAATGTTGATTGGTCGGAATAACACGTTAGCATTTGTTGTGTGTCCAACAAATACTGATTTCTCAACTCTTCTGAAGATCTCGACTCTTCTAAAATTAATATAAACACATCTGATAGTATATGGTACTTTTTAATATTTTATGCATAACATATTGTTTGGAAGAAATGTCATTAGCAGGTTTTCTCAAACACAAAACTATACATTTTATTGAGAAAACGTGATTTTTTTAAAATTTAAACATTTTTAATTGTGCGTTTTTCATTTTATAGGTGAAGAAAAATAAAATGTAAACCATTTTTTCATTTAAGTACAGTTTTTTTCTGTAATGTGGTCAAGTAAAAGCACAAATAGTCACAAAAAATAATAATACTTTAGTATAACAATAATCAATTAAAATTTCTAGTTGAGTATTTTTTTACACCCCTGACTGCATTCTTATACTTTCCAAACAAGTGAGCAAAATGTCGTTTCATTTAACCATGTAAAATGCAATGATACAAGGTTGTTAATATACAATATTAAAATGACACAAGATAACAAATGTGTTATTCTTCTTCTTATTATTATTATTATTATATTATTTAATTTGCTGACAAACTCTAACCTGTAAAGTAACAACGCTGTTTTCTATTAAATTGCATTATAATTTTTTTTGTCATGTATTAAAAATGGTTTACTGTAAGGGTCTGAATGACAGGATGTTGAAGTATGTTTCCTGTGTGAAATGATGTCTAGTTTAAAGTGTTTGCAGTTCTTTTAAACTGGGCGACCATATCGTTGATCTGATTTTTTGTATTGTTTTACCATTAGACAATAATTTTCAAAAAAAATTCCAAATTAATTTGTTCCTCAGTATAAGATACATTATTTTACAATTCATTCTTATTCAGAAGCCTATATCACATCTGATCAAATATTTAAATGATCAAATGATCAACGTGTTTGGGTCAAGTGTCCTGTCTGTATGTTGTAAAATGAATATGATTTATTATTGTTAAGGAAGGGTGTTATAAACGATTATTGTTAACCACAAATGTTTCCATTCAGCCTAGTGCGTGTGTGCATGAGACATGAACAGGACCGGACAGAGGCTGGTTAGTGTGTGTAAATGCTCATGTGCTGAGTTTGTGGTCAGATTGGTTTGTATGCATGCAGTGTCTGCAAAAGCTTGATGTACAGCGAAAGTTCTTCTGTAGACTCTGATGGATGAGAAATTTACTGCACACATTTACTGCATCTCTCAGTATGAAGCACAAATAGCAAGTTCCTTTTCTTTTACTTTGTAATGCTGTTTAGATGCTTCTCATTGTTCATATACTTGCCTCCGAGACTCTGAGATTTTAGTGATCAGTCGTCGGTTTGTTTAGTTTTACTGGTGGCTTAAAGGGGCAGTATGGGCTTGCCGATGTAAAATCTGTGAACATTTCTTTAAAATTATAAACACTCCACATTTTTATATTTCATTTATGTGACTGCTGTAAACCAAGTGAATGTGTTTTATTAATTCATGTTGTGAACTGATTGGGTGTCTCTAATTGTGTTTGGCAAATCATAAATCTTGTAATAAAGATAGGGAACATGTATGAGGAACATATTCATTTCAAGAGATGAATTAATATAAATTAACATATAAATAAATAAAAATGAAAAGTACAAAGTAGGTTTAAACATGAGATTGTGGTTGTTTATCAGTATCATTGGAACTGCAGTTTTATTTTACTCTTAGATGTTCACGACATGGAGACAGAAATTCAGTCTTGAGCACACTTCCAGTCTTTACACTTGACTACTTGTATAATAACATGCAGTATATCCTGTAGGCCTATTTGAACCAAGTATTCAAGTGAGCATGAAGATGGAAGTGTTTAGAATCTAAAATACCAAATACTCAAAAATAAACTTTTGTGTCCATAGGGTAGTCCTGTTGGAACATACAATCAATTCCATGCGTGTTCAAGAAAAAAGGTCAGGAGAGGTTTTTCTTGAATGTCAAAAATCGTAACAATTTATTGGATACAAATGAATAATTCGATTCACAGAATTCTGTTATCCTCAAAGCAATGCAGAAGTTACATTAGGGAGGTGCGCAACAACCCTCTTTTCCCGACTTCTTCAACTTATATAAGCAGCTGATGTAGAACAGGTGGAGTTTAATGAAATTCGTCATTTGTCAGTCATTGTTCAGGCCTCCATTGGCCGCACCTTAGACATACTTCCTCTTTTTCTACGAATTCTCTGCACAACAAAAAAAAAAAAGCATACAACTTTCTGTGCTCTGTGTTCAGTTTTTACACCTCTCTTCAGACAGGAAGTTTCTGCAGAGCTGAATTTAATTTTGGACCCGCATCTATCTACTTCTGCAAAAATGCTAATTAGTATGCACAGCACTCGCACACAACAGTAGACGTTCAGTTAATATATGACCCTTACATGACCAATACAAATAATTGTTTGATTAAAAGGAAAAGAGACAAAAATAATACAAATTATATAATAAAACAGTCCATATATGTTAATTACTTATCTTAGTTATGTTGTTTCTAATTAAGGGATAAAAAGCAGATTCAATCATTTAACAAAATATAAGTTTTCACTTCTGACAAGTTTGAGGTATTTTATTTTTAGTAATTTCACCGCGTCCCATAACAAGCATTCTGAGTTAAACACCAAGTTAGTTGTCTGTGTTTTAATTTATAAAATATATTTTAATGCACAGCAAAAAATATTCAAAGTCACCTTCGTTGATCTTTAAACTTGTCTTTCTGTATGCAAAGTGTGTTTGTTTGATATCTGCAAAGTTTCAGGCCAATTTCATTTATTGTGCAACAGATTAAAGTAAATAATAGTTGAAGTTAAAGATTAAAGTATCTCAATAATAATAATCCTCATCATTATTGTCAATTGTATTTTTAAATTTTATAATACTATATTATAATAAGAATGACAATATTAGTAGTGGTGGTAATAATAAAAAAATAATACAACACAATTTTAAAATCTTTTGCATTTTCCAACGAGACCCCATTATTATCACACAGGACGACCATATTTGTAATCTTCTTATCTTTAAGGTAAGTTGTTTGCTTGTAGGAAACACAGGAAACCACAGCCATGTGATTATATATGTGCATTGTGTGCAGTTTTTGTAGTGAGCACACAAATGTATTCAAATGATTTGCGGTTTTGACACCTAGACATGCCTCCAGTGTGTACATTCTTATTTGTGCATGCATGTCGGTCCTCTTATGATCTGCATATAGAGAATGTTAGTGTCTCTGATGAGGGACTTTACTACTGTGGGAAAAGAGAAACAAAAATATATAAAGATGAACGATGAATCAAACCAAACATTGAGTATGAATATGGAAAGAAGACGAGCAGACTGTCTGTCCTGGGTGAGAAACAACTGCTGTTTTCATTGCTTTGTTTTGTGTAGTCAGATCCTTTAAATGTGTTTCTAATACAGCTGATGAAGAGACATGCAAACATCTACAGTGTAAATTATAGTGTCATTTATTATAATAATAGTGTCAATTACAGTTTATCTCTTCATAATGTAGCTGTGCTTTAATAAAATAATTTTTAATAAAAAGTCTACATGTTTACCTAAAGCTTTATTATTTTAATATTATTTTAATTAATTTTAAAGATAATTAATGCAAAGTCCTGCAAATAAATAAGTGACACAATCTTACAGCCAAAGTCCAACTTCAAATACAGAAATAATTTATATTTAATAAAATATATTAATAAAATAAGTCTGTTTATAATTAGTTTTTAAAGTGTATCTTAGTTTCTAATAATATTTTTTATTAAATTAACAGCAAATTCATTGTATTAAAAAACAATGATTTATAGTGTATTTTTATATTAGAATCTTTAACTTCTGATTTTCTAACCACTTTTAGCAAATTCATCCGTGTTAAACTCATATTTTTCATTATTGTGTGTAATCAGTAAAGATAAAATAAAATGAATATAATAACTAAATATATATTCACTTTAATAATGGCCTGTTGTTCATTTTAGAGCAAGAGTCTCCTTGTGCTGAACGGTTTAACAGCACCTCCACATCACCTGCATCAGAGTGTGTTTTCTGCTGGAATCTGCTGTTCAGTGTGTGTTCGGTGTGTGTTCTCCTCTTCTCCATCTGCGTCTACTGCCTCTGTCAGAAGAAAACTACAGGTCATCAGCTATTCATAAAAAAAGTAAATCTCAAATTATAAAATGTAAATTATACTTATCTTTTGTTAAGTTTATGTAAGTTCTGGAGCTGAGAACAGACATATTGAGGTATGAGCACATTTTGAGAATAATTTTAATATATATTATTCGCAATAGTTTAGCAGCAACATGAATTACATAAAAATAATATAATTTATTTATTTGTTTATTTATTTGTTTATTATTTTAATTAAATATATTCTGTTTCAGGCTGGTGAAGAAGTGTGTTATGCTTCATTAGACATGCCTTCCACACAGCAACAAAGGCAGAGGAATGAAAAAGGCTCAGAGTTCAGACTTCAGTATTTATTCTAATGTCAGAACCAGCAGAATGTAAAGTAGAGTAAACTAAAGTCATTGTTCTTTAGTAGAAATATGATTCAAAAGAGTGTTAATGACAATGTTCTGGCATCTGCATCCTATTTTCATTGATTCTAATATTGTAAGTTTTTAATGATTAAAAATGTAAATACATTTAAGAAAGGTTAAATGTTTTTTCAGAATATTTGACTTGCAGTCTCAGAAAGGACTCAGTGTTGTTTCTGGGTCTCTCAGTTTAATATAATTTAAGCCAATCACATGAGTGCATATGCAGTAGTACTCCCAGCTAAAACTGAAGTTCTTAAACTCTTTTCATGCCACAAAACAAACATCTCCCTGCTACAACAACAGAAATGTAGAATGCAAATGTACATCTAACAGAGCTCTGAACATTCCTAATATTAAAAAAACAAAAAACTAGGTCTTAGATCATCAGATGTGTACACCATTTCAGAGGTTTTACTGCTACTGTGGGCAAATTACCACAACAACTCCACCAAAACTTATATATCATAGATCTATAAGATCATTTAATGGAATAACAACCAAAACAATATTTCATCACACCTTTAGCCTCAGTCAGTAGAGCTGCAATCTTCATTTTAAAACCATTATGAAAACCTCCATTAAGAGGACTTAAATGGATAGTTCACCCCAAAATAACAATTCTGTATCATTAACTCCCTTTCACTTGCTCCAAACCTGTTTGAGTTTCTTTATTCTGTTCAATACAAAAGAAGATATTTTGAAGAAAGCTGAAAAGCTGTACCCATTGACTTGTTTGTTTTTGATCCTATGAAAGTCAACGGTTACAGGTTTTCAGCTTCTTCAAAACATTTTATTTTGTGCAAAACAGAAAACAAGAAACTCTTAAAGATTTGAAACCGCTTGAGTTTGAGTAAACAGTGAGTAAATCTGGATTTCTGTGTGAACTCTCCCTTTATTTGAGCTCTCTCCAGTCACTCTAGGAAGACACTACACCTGGATTATTTGTCTAAATAATACGTTTATTATTAAAATCCCTATTAACATTAAATTCATCTGAAGCGGTGGCTTAGTGCAGGTAAAGGGGCCCCGGCCCTGGGTGAGTCGGCCATTAGTTAATGCCCACTCCTCATTCTGCAGGTGATCAGGAAGCAGTTCTCTGCACTTCCTGTGTGACTCCTGCTCACCCTACACAAATCATTAAGATCATTAATCCAGACTGACCCTAACAACACAATCAAAGCCATGAGTGCGTCACTCAGATAAGTGTCAAGTCACTGGCCACCTGTTCACTGTAACCAGGGATGGCGCTCAATATCGTCCAAACTGGGCCGATCAGCCGCCGCTGGACTGAGACACCAGCCAATCAGCTGACGGCACTCTGATACACACAACACCGTGTTCAGAAACACAGAGCAACACACTTCTGCTGATCTCTCAGTGAGTCTCTTACCTGTTGACAGAGTTATGGGGAAGGTCAGGAGTTTTAGCAGGAGATCCGGCGTTTCAGGAATCCGGATGAGGGTTTGGGACGGTCAAACCAGTCTAGCAGTTGCAGGACGTTGGGGCAGACAGGAGGTGAATTGACGCGGGTCATCAGTGCCACCTCCAGCGGCAGCCGACTTGACCTTCCTGCAGGACAAACGATTGGATTCAGAACCCAATGAAACATCAAACACAACAACAGGTTCACACTGAACTCACAACTCTCAGTCTCCTCTGTGTCCGCTCTTTAGACACATACTTGATGGCGACCTGTAGACAGATAAAGCATAATAAATCACACCTGCCTGATCCTCACACATCACATTTACTGAGATCAGGATTTCTAAAGGCTGTTTGAATGAAGAGCGGAGAAAACGACTTACTGGCAGTCCATCAGACCTGCGCATCCCAGCAAACACAGAGCCAAATCCACCGTCTCCCAGCAGTGGGCCCTTTGCATACGCGTCTGCAACACAGAGGAGCAGTAGAAATGTGTGTTCAAAGAAAACATGCAGCAGTAGAGAAAACTGTAAAAGAGCATTACTGAAACATCATCATCACTTCTTCAATAAGCCATTCTGACCTCTGCGAGAGCGTTTGAGAGCTCTTCTAGATGAGGTGGACGGACGTTCATCTTCTGGTGTTTGCTGGCTGCCGCTCTGCCGCTTCCTCTTCCTGTTACCCTGATCTGTGGACACAGATTTGGCCAACGGGGAAGGCAGAGGTGCGAGAAATCCATCAAGCTCTTGGCTCACGGTCTGGGTTTCACCATCACCATCATGTGTCCTGACGTCCTGAACAGCTGCCTGGATGAAAGCAGAACTCCTGGATCTGGAGCGGCCTGAGACAACGACAACAACAACAACATATCACGTTTATCATAAGATTATAAGAATTAATCAACAATTAACTTTAGTAGCTGCATCTACAGAGAATAAAAGACATCTGATCACTTATATCGGGGAACAGTTGTGTTGAAATGGGTTCATTTGTACCAGTTTATTTACATCACATTTCCCCAAACATTACACAACATCATATCATGATTGATCATAAACAAATAAAAACTAAAACACTCACTGCGGTTTTCACCCATCTGACAAACTCCTCCAAACTCCAGCAAACCTGAAAACAAAAACAAAGATCAAATATCAATAAAAATGTCAATAAAAACAAGATCAAAATCAAAATAAACACAACAAAAGAGCAACAAAACGTGTCAAAAGGAATAATTTCAGCTCTGAGCGTCGATCTCCTTGTAAAATAAAAGTCTTCTGTCAGAAATTCTCTGGTCTCCTTGAAGAATCGCAGTATCAGCACAGTAATCCTCAGCAAATGTCTCAGAAATTCGCCTCTCCTCAATCAACAGATAGCGGCGAGTCTCGGTGTTTATATATGGAGTCAAATCATAACACGCGTTGCTATAGCAACCACAATTTGAATCGCTATTCTGAATCACGTCAGTAAACAACGATTCATCTAATCTCAATATATACATAAAATTAAATAAGAAATAATAATAATTAATATAGTAGAATTAATTATTGTTATTCTAATAATTTTACATTTAAATAAATTAATTTGTAAATCACCAAACTGTGATAATTGCTAAATGAGCAGAATTATTTTGACTGACATTCATATTCTGTCAAATTTTCAGCTGTTTAGGAAATAATTAAATAAAACTAATAAATTTAACTCAAATATTTTCTATTGGTGGCTCAAACTATGCATTTTTTTCACGGTAATTTAATGTACAGTGTTAACTGCTCGTAAAGATATTAGCAATATAAGTATAAGTTCAAAATAGTTTAATATTGTAAATAATATAAAGTAAATGATTGCTTAGTTCACCAAAATTTCACATCACATGACCGTACGTAGATATCTGGTTCATGGTTCAGTCATATTTATGTACTTTCATTTGCTCTTGTTTTCAGATTTATTATTATTAAGTTTTATTAATGTTTTCGATATTTTGGATGAATGTGAAGGTTTTCTAAGGGACTAGAAAGCACAAAAGCGTTCACACGCAGAAAGAGTTCCCGCGTCGAATGAGTTCCCACGTCGAACCACAAGATGGCGTCCACAGCAGAAAGGTGCAAGTTTCTAAATACATTATTTCTTGTTTGCATGAATCAATGTCTTTTTTCATTACTAATATGCAGCTTTCAATATGTTAAATTCCTATCACAAGGTCTGTCCAAATAAACAAAACAAAACAGCGACTCTAAATTAGCCTTTTACACTCAAAAAAAATGATAGGCTATGTTGGCTTTAATTAACTTTTTTATGTCAACAGGTTCCACGTAACCGAGTTAAGTTACCTTAAAGAAAGACTATTTATTTGAGTAAACTTAAGTTAGTTACATAACGGCAAGGTAATGTTGTTTAGTTCAATCAACACAACATTTATAATTTAGCTTTAATTTTTTTACGCTGTTAAAAAAACATTTAAATTTATGGAAAAATACCGGCAGTAAATTTTCTGTGAAAATACGGAAGCTTTATAGGACTGTTTAAATTTACAGAAAATAACCGTATTCCATCATCTGATACTATGCTCATTTTACAAAAACCTAGTTTAGCTCACAAAAACGTAAAGTCATTTAATGCATTAATGTGTTCATGTATGTACAATTAGCAAACAGATTTTCACTGCATCAGTAACTATACAGTTACCTTTAAATAAAAGAAGATGCAGCACAACATCAGTTGTCCTTAGTTCATATTGGACTTGCACACAGATGCTACTATCCTTCAAGTGTGCAACATTCAACATTTAAATCAAATTGTATTAATCATTTTACAAAATTTCCTTCCATAAAGCAAGTAAATCTGTTTCTGTTTTCTATTATGTTTTAATTTCTACATTAGACCTTCTTTAGTTGTTGAGAAATGACAGTATCCTGTTCACTGATCAGACACTTATAATGAATTTAATGTGAGAAGAGAGTTTAGTGTGGAGTAAATTCAGCACAATGGACAGCTCCCTGCAGTGCTGAACTGACTGAACCACATCTGCAGGAGGAAATGCTACAGAGATGTTTAATTACTGCTGAATAATTACTGAACAATGTTACATATTGAAAATCTAACCCATCAATAATGATTACATAAAAAAAAACCTGTTGGGCTTATTCGCTCTAAGGCATGCTTTAATAATTATATTTCTTTTAAAGTTTTACAGTTTTGTTAATCTTAATAAAAAGGAAACACTGAGTTTGTATTGTCATTTCTTTTTGTAATTGAACACTCAAGACTAAAAAAAACCTAATGAAAAATCTGTGCTTTTTGTCAATAATCTAAGAGATCTTATCAGATCAGAGAAATGTATTCTGTTCTTCTAGAAAACCTTTTTCAGTTTGGCTGGTGAAAACAGTTTTTAATAAGAAAACTAACAAAAGATTAAGCACATATTATTAGCCCTGTAAGATTTTTTTCACTACAGAACCAAACACTGTTGTCCTATGATTTGCCTAAATTAAACTAACTTTAGTTAACCTAATTAACCCAGTGAGCCTTTAAACTGCACTTTAAGCTGAATACTAGTGTCTTGTAAAATAACTATTAAAATATTGTGTCATGAGTTATTAGAGATTATTTATTTAACATATTATGTTTAAAAATGTGTTGCAAAAGATATTTTCTCAGTTAAACAGTGCTGGGGAATTATTTAATCATTCATTACACTCAGAATAATTTATTTCAAGTGTTTATTTCAGTTCATTTTGATGATTATTATGGCTTACAGCTAATGAAAACTCCAAATTCTGAATCTCAGATAATTAAAATTATTCTTAAGACCAATAAAAAGAACTTTAACACAGAAATGCTGGACTACTGTAAAGTATGAACATGTACAGCACTCAATACTTGGTTGGAGCTGTCTTAACATGAATTAGTTCAGCAATAATATGTGGCATGGAGGTGATCAGTCAGTGGCTCTGCTGTTATGAAGGTCTGATAGTGGCCTTCAGCTCTGATAGTGGTGTTTGTCTGGTGTTTCACATCTTCCTCTTCACAATACCACACAGATTCTCTATGAGTTTTAGGTCCGGCAACTTTGGTGGCCAATGAAGCACAGAGATTGCATAGTCTTTAAACTAGGTGTTAGCACTTTTAGTGTGGACGCAGTTAAATCCATGGATGTAAAAAGGAACACCAATACTCAAAAGCTGTGACTTTGTGACTGAGGTAAACCACAGTGAAAGTCAGTTTCTACAAATGGAACAGTCGAGAATGGCTTTCTAGGAGTGGCAGACCAAAAATTACCCCAAAAGTGTGTGGGTGTTTCCCAGTACAGTGCTGCGTTGCGGCTGAAAGAGCATCCGCTGGAAAAAAGCATATGCCGGAATAGTTGGCGGTTTATTTCGCTGTGGCAACACCTGATAAATAAGGGACTAAGCCGAAGGATAATGAATGAATGAAAACTCAATACTTTCGTCCTCAGTGTATTTTATGTATTTTTGGCTGTATTAAAGGTGTATTCTTTGTGGATCCACAGGGATGGTGAAATGCTGCTTATTTTACTGTGTGCATTTTCTCTTCATTCTCTGAATGATCATAGTGTTCATGTGACTCAATTTTAGATTAAACCTGAAATGTCTAAGCTGAATGAGAGATGTAAGCTCTCTGGGCCTGATAGGTGGGCTAGTGAGTTTAGATAACAACATGAAGATAAACAAACAGGCAATCTTAAAATGTAATAAATATATCCTAAAACTGTCTGATACAAAGAAAAATGCTGACTTTAGCTTTTTAGTAAGATGTAGTCTTTGTTTTGCTTTTTATCATGTGAAATTGGAATTAAATAAAATTTTAATCAAATATATCAAAAGCAGGAATTTACCCATTATAAAAGTTTCACTCAAGTGTCTCATCTCCTTTTTTTTCTCAAGGTAGGGTCTTGTTCTCAGTTAAAAGATTACATCTAAACCACAAATGTTTCCACTCAGTCTTGCTTGTGTGCAGACATTATGATGCACAAACAGGACAGTGGTTAGTTTGTTTGCTAATGCTTATGTTGTGGTGAACTTGCTTTTCATGCATGCAGTGTCTGTGAAACTTGTTGCAAAAAAAGGAAATAGAAAAAAGAACAATTGTTGTCTAGTGGTTAATTATCTGAAATAAACTTAACATGTCCCCCTACCAAGAGGTGAGAAAGTATTCACACTTCTACTTTTACTCAAGCTACACTGCAGAAAACTGTTTGACTCTATGAAGTTATTTCATTTATCTGCTGAATTAAAAGGGAACACCTGTGTCTTTTTGACATATATATAGTCTATGGTGGAATTGTTGCCCTACAGCAATATGGTCGCTAGTTTGAGTCTCGGCTGGACCAGGAGGCCTTTCTATGTGGAGTTTGCATCTTGTTGTTTTTCTCACACCGTTTCTGAACAATTTTTGCTTTGTGTGAATGTAAGAGTGTAGGGTTGTTTCCCAGTGTTGGGTTGCAGCTGAAAGGGCATCCGAGCTGAAAAGAAAATAAATGAATGAAATCCGCACTAAACTAAGATGAATGTGTTTTAAAAAGATTAATTAAAGTTGCCTTTTTTACCTGTTGACACATGCATTCTTTGTCATAAGAGCTGTTTGTGAAGATGAGGAAGACAAAATAAAAGATGTTTGGGAAAAAATCTATATTTCAGTAATTTTGCCAAGTAACAGTAACACAGTTATTAAAACAGCTTCCTGTGCAGATATGTGCACCCTAACCAACATATGAAACTACATAAAGACTAAAGGAAATACTTTTGATCAATGATAAACTTAGAGCTGTGAAGCATCTGTAAGGTGTTTGCTTACAGAGACCTAAAGCTGTGGTTTCCTGTTTTGACATGTTGCTGAATTGAGTGTCATCAAAACCAAGTATGAGATAACTCTAATAGTAACTATATAGCACGTACATCAGTTATGTAGTTCAATATGAATTTAAATATGTAAATACTTTAACGTAATGAGCACTTTACTGTAAGATTGGATTTGTTGGATTGGATTTGGCAGGATGGCTGTCCCTGTATTTAATTCTTCTGAAAGTGATTGCAGCAATATAATTTTAGTGCCATTATATTTAAATTTGTGAAGCAGACCCCCAATTGAAATGTAAATCACACAATGTTGTGTGTGAAGTAAGCTTATTTGATACTACACAGATCTGTCAAAGATAACGTTTTACTTCTTGTTTGATGATGATGATTTGATGATGTTCTTTTCACATCACAGCAAAAGAAGCCAGCTATTGGTTATTTCTAATAAGACCAGAAAATAACCCAATGTTAGGCCACCCCCTAATGAGGCATGAGCTTTTAGGTTAAACTTTGTTGATGAAAAAATCAGATAAGAGCTGTTTGTGTGCATTGAGACCCTCACCAGTGTCAGTTACTCACAATCACTCACTGATATGGAGACGCCACGACTTACTCTCATCCTGCTCATGTGTAAGAGTAAAAATCTAATCTAATCTAATCTATTTGCAAAGTTTTTAAATGTGTATCCAATAATAATGCTATATATATATATATATATATATGTGTGAATGTTATGTTTGTGTGTGTGTGTGTGTGTGTGTGTGTGTGTGTGTGTGTGTGTGTGTGTGTGTGTGTGTGTGTGTGTGTGTGTGTGTGTGTGTGTGTGTGTGTGTGTGTGTGTGTTGGTATGGAATAAGTATCATAAGAGTTTTTTTAAATGACTTTGTTATTTTACAGGTGTTTTGTTGTTCAGTCTGAGAAGAATCTCTGGAGAAGAAGTGGAGATGAAAGTCAGAGCAGGAGAAAACATCACTCTCTACTGTGATCTCTCTTTACCTACTTCACCTACTGGTTCCCTCATTGTGTGGATCAGAAACTGCTCTCATGAAAATCAACCCTCTCTCATAATAGGCGCAAACATTATGGTTGGAAATGGGACCTATTACAGCCTTTCAGCTTTATACATAATGATTGCAGCAATTCTTACGATCTGCGTATTACTAACATCAGTGTCTCTGATCTGGGGCTGTACTACTGTGGAAAAGGTGAGAATAAGGTAAATCAGGATGAAAAAGGGATCATCTCTGGATCTGAGGTTTACTATTATTGAAATCGAACAACTCGTCTCTTTCTTGCCGGTAAGAAGACATTATTATTTAATTATATGCAACTCGATATCTTTTTCTTTTCTGTTCTGAATAAATTTTTTTCTCTAAACAATGTTTTAAAGAATGATTTCATCTTCTGATATATTTTTTAATTTCGTCACCAATCTACCAAATAAGACATGAGCTAATCTTAGACAGTTTTGTATGCTTTACACGCCATCATTAATTTGCATTATGTAATCACATTTATTCAGATTATGTCAGCATTATTATCATTATTATTTCAGAATTATCAAGGATGGGCAAAAACATTTTAATGTATTTTAAAATATAATACCAAATACTTTAATTTTAAATATATCAAAACAAAATACAGCAGTAACAACGTGTATTAAATAAAATGCCTATAAAAATACTACAAAATACTTTTAGCATGACATTTTCTCAAACCTCCTGTTTATTGGATCAATCCCTTCACTATTGATCTGACTCAGTTAAACAATGTTTGATAGCAACGTTTTTAACTGACTATGTTTTAGCAGATTCGCTGCCATCTTGTTCACTTCTACTGTACATGAGTATTTATAAAAAATTGTGTTTCTTTTTGATTTTTGTATAAATTTTGTACAGATTTACAAAGTCCTGTCTTAAAGAGGAACTCTACTGTTTAAATTATTTAAAGCCGGTTATTAGTTGGAACATATTACTATATATGTTGATTGTGTTTTCACCCATTGCAGGCCAGTAAAATTGCCAGCATCTCTGTACGATTATTATTCAGCCACTTATATTAAAAAAGTTCACATATGAAGAGTTCATTTCATTTTTTTTTTGTTCATAGAATATTTCATAAATTGTGTTTTTTGTTAATAAACTCTTCGATACACAATGTAAAATATTCATTCATTTATTCATTCATTCATTTTTATTTATTTTTTGCTTAGTCCCTTTATTAATCAGGGGTTGTCACAGTGGAATGAACTCATCCAGCATATGTTTTACCCAGCGAATGCCAATCTAGCTGCAACCCATCCCTGGGAAACACCCATACGCTCTCATTTACACACACGTACACTACAGACAATTTAGCCAACCCAATTCACCTGCACCGCATGTCTTTGGACTTGTGGGGGAAATCAGAGCACCCAGTGAAAACTCACGTTACACTTGCTGTGAGGCGATTGTGCTACCCACTGCGCCACCATGTAAAAACATGATTTCTGCACTGTACACTTCAATGCACAACATAAAAACATGATAAATAGCAAAATTAATAAAAATAGTTACAGCTTCTGTTTTTCCAAATAAATTCTTCATATCCTGCTGCTGCTGTAAAACCATTTGATTATTAATTGTTTGTTTGTTGTTGTTTATTTATTGTATTAAATGTGTGTGTAACTGTGTGTGTTTATTCTTATACAGAATGTTGATGTTCAGTCTTAAATCGTTCATTTATCAGCAGTTTCTGCACATGAGTCCACCATCGCCTCCACTTCTCCTCCAGTGTCAGAGTGTGTGTCCTGCTGGACGCTGCTGTTGAGTGTGTGTCCGGTGTGTGTTCTCCTCTCCTCACTCCTGTCCTCCATCTGTGTTTACTGCTTCTGTCGTCCTCAAACTACAGGTAGAGCTCATCGACACATTTACATTTATTTTGAACAAATCTGTGAATCTGTAGAGCTTTTTTAAAGATTTGTTCTTTTAGCTTTTAACATTTTGACTCTAATCGTAATTATTAGACTTTTCCACATGAGAAAATACAGTAATTTATAGTAAATACTGGAGTGTTTTTGACCCATTCTACAGTAATTTGTATTATACTGTACTGTATATTATAGTATTTACTAAACTGTTAAAGAATGCTGAAGCAGAATATAGTATTAACTACTGAATTGATAAACTGAGACAAATACTGTAGTATACTTTGGTTTTTATTATAGTAAACTGTGGTGTAAAGTGGTATTTAGTAGAGTATTGGTTTGTAAACATTACTATAGTTGTTGCATTACCACAGAAACTATAAAATTACCACAACAGATTAATTCAAGTCCTTTACTATAGTATAGTTCAAAAACACTACAGTATTTACTATAAATTACTACAGTATATTAATCAGGTTCATTTTGTGTGTTTTAGGTTCTGACATGAGTGCTGAGATTCTTAAAGCAAATGTTTTGATGGTAACTATTTTATACTCTTTTATTGACCATATCAAAGATGAATTGTGGACTGATGTGGTTTTTCACTAGTTTATTTGATCCATTTTCTCCTTGTCAATCATTTCAGGCAGATTGTGTGGAGAAACATCAGTGTGAGGCGAGTAAGACTGGAAAGATCTGCGTCCACACTGAAGTCTCTTATAGACGACTGACATCTAAACATCCCTACACCAACATCTGACACATGAACTGCTCTTAGTCTACTTTCTGTCTTATTTCTGATAGAGTTTGAGTGGACATGCTTTTATTTACAGCACATTATCTATTACAATCAAATGTTTTTTTTTTTAAATGAACAGTGTGATCCACAGATTATTTAGGGTTTAACATTTTATTTTTGACAATATTAATGTGTCCAAAGATTATTAAGAAAAGCAGATTATTAATAACAGCACAAGGCTGTGTATGTTTGTATCTGCAGTTCATCTGCATATCTCAAAATAAATGAGTATGTAAATGTTCACTCATGAATGATCACTTTTATTTCAAATATTAACACAACATATTTAATAGTTATCAGCGTCTGTGAACATGAATAAATATTGAAGAGGGAGTCATGAACAAACAATGGCTCCATCTAGTGGCTAATAGCTGAAGCGACGTCAAAACCACTTGTCAAGACCACTTGTCCACACATCGTTTTATCAGCACCAGTTCTCCCCCTCTAAATTATAACCAAGACCTATTAATGTCACGTACATGTAGAAGATGAAACATTGGTCAGTTTTCATTCTTCAGTGGTGTTTTATTTTTTTTTTTGAGTGAAACTTTAATAATGATTGTTTCTTAAAGTTTAAACCGTGTGTATTACCTCCATGACTAGATTGTGTTCAGAGATGTATCAACATTATTATACTTAATAAAATCAGTCCAGTTTATATGACGATGATAGTTTTATGATTCTGTGCCCTGTATTGGAAAAAAGTCTGACCATTTCTTTAAAGTTTTATTCTTATTTTATTAAAAAGAAACCACAACAATAAACTACACATAAAGTATGATGTGTTCAGATTTAAGTATTGTATTAAGACTTTACTTCATTCAGAAACTGATGGGATAAATAATAAAATGACATGAAAAAATAACAACATAAAACTGTGACAAATCAGTTAAGTTTTAAATGACAGGCTTTTGTTTTCGGATTAAACTAATTAAGTTTGATTACTGTTTTCGTTATTTTGGAGATTGTAAAGGATTTTTAAGGGGCTTTGGTTTCATTTAACGGCTTGAAAACACAAAATTTCCCCTGCGGAATGAGTTCCCGCGTTTGACCACAAGATGGCGTCCACAGCAGAAAGGTGCAAGTTTATAAATACATTATTTCTGTTTGTATGAATCTAAATAGCTGTTTTCATCACTAATATACAGCTTTCAATAAGCTAAATTACTATCACAAGGTCTGTAATGACAATTAGCTTATACGTTTGCTAGAATTTTCCTAACCTATCTAGCCTTGTTCATTTATATTAAAACAAAAAAAGATTGTATTTTATTCAGAAAAACATCTCTCGTTTGTCATTACGTTTGATGATTTGATGTGATTTGAGCTTCTGAACTTCTGTTAAGGGTGCAAAGTCTGCATTGAAGCGGCCTGATTTTATACACCAGTTTACAGTAGTAAAAATATATCAAAGTTAATTAAAGTAAACATATTAAAGGTAAACAGGTTTCTATTTTTGAATGTAGTTAAAAATTATTTATAAAATGAATAATATGATTAATAATATGATTCATTTATTATATTGATATACATTTTTCATATTAAATTATCTCTGGGTCATAAAGGATTCTGCTTGCAGCCTACAGTACATCAGCTTTCAGGCTCAGTGCTGTGTTTCTTCTTCTTCTTCTTGGTCTTTACTGACGCTCCTGGTGCAGTGATGTTGCAGTTGCTGTGAAAAGCTAGGCGAGAACACAAACCACAAGTGTTTTTATTCAGGCATGCAACAGACTGAATGTCCTAAAACTGTTTGTGGTCAAGCTGGTGATCTTGCATGCTCAATACACACATCAATGCATGAGATAAACTGTGGTTAGACAAAAACAGAAATAAGAAAAGTAAGAAAATATTTAGTGCACGCTGCAGCTGTAAATGTTGCTTTTATTATTTTCATGACTTGGAATTGATGAGAAACTGAAGATGCAAAAGTCTGATTTATTAAAACACGTGCCATGAATCAGAGACAGTGTAAACAGCACACAACTGAGGTTTGATTTATTTAAAGAAGAGCAGAGCAATGCAACATATACGAGTGCAACATTCAACATTTAAACCAAATTGTAATAATCATTCAACAAAATTTCCTTTCATAAAGCAAATCCATCTGTTTGTATTTCCTATTATCTTTTAATTTCTACATTAGACCTTCTTTAGTTGTTGAGAAATGACAGTATCCTGTTCACTGATCAGACACTTATAATGAATTTAATGTGAGAAGAGAGTTTAGTGTGGAGTAAATTCAGCACAATGGACAGCTCCCTGCAGTGCTGAACTGACTGAACCACATCTGCAGGAGGAAATGCTACAGAGATGTTTAATTACTGCTGAATAATTACTGAACAATATTGAATATTGAAAATCTAACCCATCAGTAGTGATTACTAATTAAACATTTATTTTATATATAAATTAAGGTAAAAGGCGATTATATAAAAATCCTGTTGGGCTTATTCGCTCTAAGACATGCTTTGATAATCATATTTCTTTTAAAGTAATACGGTTTTGTCAATGTTAATAAAAGGAAACACTGAGTTTGTATAATCATTTCTTTTTGTAATTGAACACTCACTTTACAGCTCTTCATCTCTCAGAAAACTCCCTCATTAAACCAATAGTTGCCCTCGCGCACATTAATCAATACACAAGACTAAAGAAAGCCTAATGGAAAATCTGTGCTTTGTGACAATGATCTAAGAGATCTTATCAGATCAGTGAAGTTTATTTTTCAGTTTGGCTGAAGTGAAAACAGTTTTTGATAAAAACAAACAAAAAATTAAGCACATTATTATTAGCCCTATAAGATTTTTTTTTTTTTTTTTTTTTGGCTACAGAACCAAACACTGTTGTCCTATGATTTGCCTAAATTAAACTAACTTTAGTTAACCTAATTAACCCAGTGAGCCTTTAAACTGCACTTTAAGCTGAATACTAGTGTCTTGTAAAATAACTATTAAAATATTGTGTCATGAGTTATTAGAGATCATTTATTTAACATATTATGTTTAAAAATGTGTTGCAAAAGATATTTTCTCAATTAAACCGTGCTGGGGAATTATTTAATCATTCATTACACTCAGAATAATTTATTTCAAGTGTTTATTTCAGTTCATTTTGATGATTATGGATTACAGCTAATATTAGTGTCAATTATAGTTTATCTCTTCATAATATAGCTGTGCTTTAATGATAAGTTTACATGTTTACCTAAAGTTTTATTATTTTAATATTATTTGAATGAATTTTACCGATAATTAATGCAAAGTCCTGCAAATAATTAAGCAACACAATCCTGCAGCCATAGTCCGACTTCAAATACAGAAATAATGTATATTTATTAAAGTATATTAGTAAAATAAGTGTTTATAATTAGTTTTTAAAGTGTATCTTAGTTTCTAATAATACTTTAAATTAAATCAACAGCAAATTCATTATATTTTGTAAAACGATGATTTATAGTGTATTTAATATTAGAATCTTTAACTTCTGATTTTCCAACCACTTTTAGCAAATTCATCCGTGTTAAACTCATATTTTTCATTATTGTGTGTAATCAGTTAAGATAAAATAAAATGAATATAATAACTAAATATATATTCACTTTAATAATGGCCTGTTGTTCATTTTAGAGCAAGAGTCTCCTTGTGCTGAACGGTTTAACAGCACCTCCACATCACCTGCATCAGAGTGTGTTTTCTGCTGGAATCTGCTGTTCAGTGTGTGTTCGGTGTGTGTTCTCCTCTTCTCCATCTGCGTCTACTGCCTCTGTCAGAAGAAAACTACAGGTCATCAGCTATTCGTAAAAAATGTATATCTCAAATTATAAAATGTAAATTATTCTTATCTTTTGTTAAGTTTCTGTAGGTTCTGGGGCTGAGAACAGACATGTTGAGGTATGAGCACATTTTGAGAATAATTTTAATATATATTATTCGCAATAGTTTAGCAGCAACATAAATTACATCAATATAATGTAATATATTTATTTGTTTATTTATTTGTTTATTATTTTAATTAAATATATTCTGTTTCAGGCTGGTGAAGAAGTGTGTTATGCTTCATTAGACATGCCTTCCACACAGCAACAAAGGCAGAGGAATGAAAAAGGCTCAGAGTTCAGACTTCAGTATTTATTCTGATGTCAGAACCAGCAGAATGTAAAGTAGAGTAAACTAAAGTCATTGTTCTTTAGTAGAAATATGATTCAAAAGAGTGTTAATGACAATGTTCTGGCATCTGCATCCTATTTTCATTGATTCTAATATTGTAAGTTTTTAATGATTAAAAATGTAAATACATTTAAGAAAGGTTAAATGTTTTTTCAGAATATTTGACTTGCAGTCTCAGAAAGGACTCAGTGTTGTTTCTGGGTCTCTCAGTTTAATATAATTTTAAGCCAATCACATGAGTGCATATGCAGTAGTACTCCCAGCTAAAACTGAAGTTCTTAAACTCTTTTCATGCCACAAAACAAACATCTCCCTGCTACAACAACAGAAATGTAGAATGCAAATGTACATCTAACAGAGCTCTGAACATTCCTAATATTAAAAAAACAAAAAACTAGGTCTTAGATCATCAGATGTGTACACCATTTCAGAGGTTTTACTGCTACTGTGGGCAAATTACCACAACAACTCCACCAAAACTTATATATTATAGATCTATAAGATCATTTAATGGAATAACAACCAAAACAATATTTCATCACACCTTTAGCCTCAGTCAGTAGAGCTGCAATCTTCATTTTAAAACCATTATGAAAACCTCCATTAAGAGGACTTAAATGGATAGTTCACCCCAAAATAACAATTCTGTATCATTAACTCCCTTTCACTTGCTCCAAACCTGTTTGAGTTTCTTTATTCTGTTCAATACAAAAGAAGATATTTTGAAGAAAGCTGAAAAGCTGTACCCATTGACTTGTTTGTTTTTGCTACTATGAAAGTCAACGGTTACAGGTTTTCAGCTTCTTCAAAACATTTTATTTTGTGCAAAACAGAAAACAAGAAACTCTTAAAGATTTGAAACCGCTTGAGTTTGAGTAAACAGTGAGTAAATCTGGATTTCTGTGTGAACTCTCCCTTTATTTGAGCTCTCTCCAGTCACTCTAGGAAGACACTACACCTGGATTATTTGTCTAAATAATAAGTTTATTATTAAAATCCCTATTAACATTAAAGTCGTCTGAAGCGGTGGCTTAGTGCAGGTAAAGGGGCCCCGGCCCTGGGTGAGTCGGCCATTAGTTAATGCCCACTCCTCATTCTGCAGGTGATCAGGAAGCAGTTCTCTGCACTTCCTGTGTGACTCCTGCTCACCCTACACAAATCATTAAGATCATTAATCCAGACTGACCCTAACAACACAATCAAAGCCATGAGTGCGTCACTCAGATAAGTGTCAAGTCACTGGCCACCTGTTCACTGTAACCAGGGATGGCGCTCAATATCGTCCAAACTGGGCCGATCAGCCGCCGCTGGACTGAGACACCAGCCAATCAGCTGACGGCACTCTGATACACACAACACCGTGTTCAGAAACACAGAGCAACACACTTCTGCTGATCTCTCAGTGAGTCTCTTACCTGTTGACAGAGTTATGGGGAAGGTCAGTTTGCTCCTGGACGTGACCCTCAGTGAGCCTCCGAAGGGGAAACGGTTGCACAGGATGTTGAAGAGGGTCACTCCTACTGACCACACCGTAGCTGGACCCGCATGGTAGCGCTGTCTGCAGAACCACTCAGGTGGAGCGTATTGAATAGTTCCTGAGAGACACAAGGAGACACAAACACCCGTTCAAAACACTCCAGCACACACAAATTCCCTTTGGTGGATCATCAAAAGCTCACAAACATCCACAGAGTGTTTCCTTCTGCAACACAAACCCACCTGCGAAGTATTTGTAGGCCGAGCGCTTGAGCAGATCTCCACAGCCGAAGTCCAGCAGCTTGATGTCCTGGGACTCTGTGGAGATCAGCAGGTTCTCTGGCTTGACGTCCCGGTGCAGGACTCCGCGGCTCTCGCAGTGTTTCAGAGCCGCGATCAGCTGCACCAGCACTTTCTTGGCCAGACCCTCATCCAGACAGTCGTTCTCCTCACAGTAGCTCTGGAGGTCTTGGCAGGGATCCGGACGCTCCAGGATCAGGATGTAGCGTCTGGGACGGTCAAACCAGTCTAGCAGCTGCAGGACGTTGGGGCAGGCAGGAGCTGAATTGACGCGGGTCATCAGTGCCACCTCCAGCGGCAGCCGACCCTGACCTTCCTGCAGGACAAACGATTGGATTCAGAACCCAATGAAACATCAAACACAACAACAGGTTCACACTGAACTCACAACTCTCAGTCTCCTCTGTGTCCGCTCTTTAGACACATACTTGATGGCGACCTGTAGACAGATAAAGCATAATAAATCACACCTGCCTGATCCTCACACATCACATTTACTGAGATCAGGATTTCTAAAGGCTGTTTGAATGAAGAGCGTAGAAAACGACTTACTGGCAGTCCATCAGACCTGCGCATCCCAGCAAACACAGAGCCAAATCCACCGTCTCCCAGCAGTGGGCCCTTTGCATACGCGTCTGCAACACAGAGGAGCAGTAGAAATGTGTGTTCAAAGAAAACATGCAGCAGTAGAGAAAACTGTAAAAGAGCATTACTGAAACATCATCATCACTTCTTCAATAAGCCATTCTGACCTCTGCGAGAGCGTTTGAGAGCTCTTCTAGATGAGGTGGACGGACGTTCATCTTCTGGTGTTTGCTGGCTGCCGCTCTGCCGCTTCCTCTTCCTGTTACCCTGATCTGTGGACACAGATTTGGCCAACAGGGAAGGCAGAGGTGCGAGAAATCCATCAAGCTCTTGGCTCACGGTCTGGGTTTCACCATCACCATCATGTGTCCTGACGTCCTGAACAGCTGCCTGGATGAAAGCAGAACTCCTGGATCTGGAGCGGCCTGAGACAACGACAACAACAACAACATATCACGTTTATTATAAGATTATAAGAATTAATCAACAATTAACTTTAGTAGCTGCATCTACAGAGAATAAAAGACATCTGATCACTTATATCGGGGAACAGTTGTGTTGAAATGGGTTCATTTGTACCAGTTTATTTACATCACATTTCCCCAAACATTACACAACATCATATCATGATTGATCATAAACAAATAAAAACTAAAACACTCACTGCGGTTTTCACCCATCTGACAAACTCCTCCAAACTCCAGCAAACCTGAAAACAAGAACAAAGATCAAATATCAATAAAAATGTCAATAAAAACAAGATCAAAATCAAAATAAACACAACAAAAGAGCAACAAAACGTGTCAAAAGGAATAATTTCAGCTCTGAGCGTCGATCTCCTTGTAAAATAAAAGTCTTCTGTCAGAAATTCTCTGGTCTCCTTGAAGAATCGCAGTATCAGCACAGTAATCCTCAGCAAATGTCTCAGAAATTCGCCTCTCCTCAATCAACAGATAGCGGCGAGTCTCGGTGTTTATATATGGAGTCAAATCATAACACGCGTTGCTATAGCAACCACAATTTGAATCGCCAATCTGAATCACGTGAGTAAACGATTCATCTCATCTCAACATATAAATAATAAATAATTAATAATAATAATAAACATAGTTAAAATAATAATTATTATAATAATAATAATAATGAAGTTTAAATCAATTAATTTATAATTCACGAAACTGTAATAATAATGCTAAATGAGCAAGATTGGTTTGACAAGGTTTGACTTTGTAAAATGTACAGCTATTTAGAAATTAATTAAATTAAAATAATAAAATTGACTCATATATTTTCTATTAGTGGCCCAAGCAATGTAAGTGCATGCTGTTTAATTACACGTACAGTGCTAACTGCTCACGTAGATATTAGGAATATAAGTTTAAAAAAGTTTATTATTGTAAATAATAGAAAGTAAATTAAATCGTTCACAATTTCTATGTCTATGCCTATATTTTACAGTCTGGTCTACGCACGATTTCAGATCACATGGCCGTTTGTATCATCATCTGGTAGGCTACATGGTTCAGTCATATTTATGTACTTTTCATTGGCTCTTGTTTTCAGATTTAATATTATTAAGTTTTATTAATGTTTTCGTTATTTTTGGATGTATGTGAAGGCTTTTTAAGGGACTTTGTGTTCACTCAACGGCTAGAAAGCACAAAAGTTCACCTGCCGAATGAGTTCCCGCGTCTGACCACAAGATGGCGTCCACAGCAGAAAGGTGCAAGTTTATAAATACATTATTTCTGTTTGTATGAATCTAAATAGCTGTTTTCATCACTAATATACAGCTTTCAATAAGCTAAATTACTATCACAAGGTCTGTAATGACAATTAGCTTATACGTTTGCTAGAATTTTCCTAACCTATCTAGCCTTGTTCATTTATATTAAAACAAAAAAAGATTGTATTTTATTCAGAAAAACATCTCTCGTTTGTCATTACGTTTGATGATTTGATGTGATTTGAGCTTCTGAACTTCTGTTAAGGGTGCAAAGTCTGCATTGAAGCGGCCTGATTTTATACACCAGTTTACAGTAGTAAAAATATATCAAAGTTAATTAAAGTAAACATATTAAAGGTAAACAGGTTTCTATTTTTTGAATGTAGTTAAAAATTATTTATAAAATGAATAATATGATTAATAATATGATTCATTTATTATATTGATATACATTTTTCATATTAAATTATCTCTGGGTCATAAAGGATTCTGCTTGCAGCCTACAGTACATCAGCTTTCAGGCTCAGTGCTGTGTTTCTTCTTCTTCTTCTTGGTCTTTACTGACGCTCCTGGTGCAGTGATGTTGCAGTTGCTGTGAAAAGCTAGGCGAGAACACAAACCACAAGTGTTTTTATTCAGGCATGCAACAGACTGAATGTCCTAAAACTGTTTGTGGTCAAGCTGGTGATCTTGCATGCTCAATACACACATCAATGCATGAGATAAACTGTGGTTAGACAAAAACAGAAATAAGAAAAGTAAGAAAATATTTAGTGCACGCTGCAGCTGTAAATGTTGCTTTTATTATTTTCATGACTTGGAATTGATGAGAAACTGAAGATGCAAAAGTCTGATTTATTAAAACACGTGCCATGAATCAGAGACAGTGTAAACAGCACACAACTGAGGTTTGATTTATTTAAAGAAGAGCAGAGCAATGCAACATATACGAGTGCAACATTCAACATTTAAACCAAATTGTAATAATCATTCAACAAAATTTCCTTTCATAAAGCAAATCCATCTGTTTGTATTTCCTATTATCTTTTAATTTCTACATTAGACCTCCTTTAGTTGTTGAGAAATGACAGTATCCTGTTCACTGATCAGACACTTATAATGAATTTAATGTGAGAAGAGAGTTTAGTGTGGAGTAAATTCAGCACAATGGACAGCTCCCTGCAGTGCTGAACTGACTGAACCACATCTGCAGGAGGAAATGCTACAGAGATGTTTAATTACTGCTGAATAATTACTGAACAATATTGAATATTGAAAATCTAACCCATCAGTAGTGATTACTAATTAAACATTTATTTTATATATAAATTAAGATAAAAGGCGATTATATAAAAATCCTGTTGGGCTTATTCGCTCTAAGACATGCTTTGATAATCATATTTCTTTTAAAGTAATACGGTTTTGTCAATGTTAATAAAAGGAAACACTGAGTTTGTATAATCATTTCTTTTTGTAATTGAACACTCACTTTACAGCTCTTCATCTCTCAGAAAACTCCCTCATTAAACCAATAGTTGCCCTCGCGCACATTAATCAATACACAAGACTAAAGAAAGCCTAATGGAAAATCTGTGCTTTGTGACAATGATCTAAGAGATCTTATCAGATCAGTGAAGTTTATTTTTCAGTTTGGCTGAAGTGAAAACAGTTTTTGATAAAAACAAACAAAAAATTAAGCACATTATTATTAGCCCTATAAGATTTTTTTTTTTTTTTTTTTGGCTACAGAACCAAACACTGTTGTCCTATGATTTGCCTAAATTAAACTAACTTTAGTTAACCTAATTAACCCAGTGAGCCTTTAAACTGCACTTTAAGCTGAATACTAGTGTCTTGTAAAATAACTATTAAAATATTGTGTCATGAGTTATTAGAGATCATTTATTTAACATATTATGTTTAAAAATGTGTTGCAAAAGATATTTTCTCAATTAAACCGTGCTGGGGAATTATTTAATCATTCATTACACTCAGAATAATTTATTTCAAGTGTTTATTTCAGTTCATTTTGATGATTATGGATTACAGCTAATATTAGTGTCAATTATAGTTTATCTCTTCATAATATAGCTGTGCTTTAATGATAAGTTTACCTGTTTACCTAAAGATTTATTATTTTAATTTTATTTGAATGAATTTTATCGATAATTAATGCAAAGTCCTGCAAATAATTAAGCAACACAATCCTGCAGCCATAGTCCGTCTTCAAATACAGAAATAATGTATATTTATTAAAGTATATTAGTAAAATAAGTGTTTATAATTAGTTTTTAAAGTGTATCTTAGTTTCTAATAATACTTTTAATTAAATCAACAGCAAATTCATTATATTTTGTAAAACGATGATTTATAGTGTATTTAATATTAGAATCTTTAACTTCTGATTTTCCAACCACTTTTAGCAAATTCATCCGTGTTAAACTCATATTTTTCATTATTGTGTGTAATCAGTTAAGATAAAATAAAATGAATATAATAACTAAATATATATTCACTTTAATAATGGCCTGTTGTTCATTTTAGAGCAAGAGTCTCCTTGTGCTGAACGGTTTAACAGCACCTCCACATCACCTGCATCAGAGTGTGTTTTCTGCTGGAATCTGCTGTTCAGTGTGTGTTCGGTGTGTGTTCTCCTCTTCTCCATCTGCGTCTACTGCCTCTGTCAGAAGAAAACTACAGGTCATCAGCTATTCGTAAAAAATGTATATCTCAAATTATAAAATGTAAATTATTCTTATCTTTTGTTAAGTTTCTGTAGGTTCTGGGGCTGAGAACAGACATGTTGAGGTATGAGCACATTTTGAGAATAATTTTAATATATATTATTCGCAATAGTTTAGCAGCAACATAAATTACATCAATATAATGTAATATATTTATTTGTTTATTTATTTGTTTATTATTTTAATTAAATATATTCTGTTTCAGGCTGGTGAAGAAGTGTGTTATGCTTCATTAGACATGCCTTCCACACAGCAACAAAGACAGAGGAATGAAAAAGGCTCAGAGTTCAGACTTCAGTATTTATTCTGATGTCAGAACCAGCAGAATGTAAAGTAGAGTAAACTAAAGTCATTGTTCTTTAGTAGAAATATGATTCAAAAGAGTGTTAATGACAATGTTCTGGCATCTGCATCCTATTTTCATTGATTCTAATATTGTAAGTTTTTAATGATTAAAAATGTAAATACATTTAAGAAAGGTTAAATGTTTTTTCAGAATATTTGACTTGCAGTCTCAGAAAGGACTCAGTGTTGTTTCTGGGTCTCTCAGTTTAATATAATTTAAGCCAATCACATGAGTGCATATGCAGTAGTACTCCCAGCTAAAACTGAAGTTCTTAAACTCTTTTCATGCCACAAAACAAACATCTCCCTGCTACAACAACAGAAATGTAGAATGCAAATGTACATCTAACAGAGCTCTGAACATTCCTAATATTAAAAAAACAAAAAACTAGGTCTTAGATCATCAGATGTGTACACCATTTCAGAGGTTTTACTGCTACTGTGGGCAAATTACCACAACAACTCCACCAAAACTTATATATCATAGATCTATAAGATCATTTAATGGAATAACAACCAAAACAATATTTCATCACACCTTTAGCCTCAGTCAGTAGAGCTGCAATCTTCATTTTAAAACCATTATGAAAACCTCCATTAAGAGGACTTAAATGGATAGTTCACCCCAAAATAACAATTCTGTATCATTAACTCCCTTTCACTTGCTCCAAACCTGTTTGAGTTTCTTTATTCTGTTCAATACAAAAGAAGATATTTTGAAGAAAGCTGAAAAGCTGTACCCATTGACTTGTTTGTTTTTGATCCTATGAAAGTCAACGGTTACAGGTTTTCAGCTTCTTCAAAACATTTTATTTTGTGCAAAACAGAAAACAAGAAACTCTTAAAGATTTGAAACCGCTTGAGTTTGAGTAAACAGTGAGTAAATCTGGATTTCTGTGTGAACTCTCCCTTTATTTGAGCTCTCTCCAGTCACTCTAGGAAGACACTACACCTGGATTATTTGTCTAAATAATACGTTTATTATTAAAATCCCTATTAACATTAAATTCATCTGAAGCGGTGGCTTAGTGCAGGTAAAGGGGCCCCGGCCCTGGGTGAGTCGGCCATTAGTTAATGCCCACTCCTCATTCTGCAGGTGATCAGGAAGCAGTTCTCTGCACTTCCTGTGTGACTCCTGCTCACCCTACACAAATCATTAAGATCATTAATCCAGACTGACCCTAACAACACAATCAAAGCCATGAGTGCGTCACTCAGATAAGTGTCAAGTCACTGGCCACCTGTTCACTGTAACCAGGGATGGCGCTCAATATCGTCCAAACTGGGCCGATCAGCCGCCGCTGGACTGAGACACCAGCCAATCAGCTGACGGCACTCTGATACACACAACACCGTGTTCAGAAACACAGAGCAACACACTTCTGCTGATCTCTCAGTGAGTCTCTTACCTGTTGACAGAGTTATGGGGAAGGTCAGTTTGCTCCTGGACGTGACCCTCAGTGAGCCTCCGAAGGGGAAACGGTTGCACAGGATGTTGAAGAGGGTCACTCCTACTGACCACACCGTAGCTGGACCCGCATGGTAGCGCTGTCTGCAGAACCACTCAGGTGGAGCGTATTGAATAGTTCCTGAGAGACACAAGGAGACACAAACACCCGTTCAAAACACTCCAGCACACACAAATTCCCTTTGGTGGATCATCAAAAGCTCACAAACATCCACAGAGTGTTTCCTTCTGCAACACAAACCCACCTGCGAAGTATTTGTAGGCCGAGCGCTTGAGCAGATCTCCACAGCCGAAGTCCAGCAGCTTGATGTCCTGGGACTCTGTGGAGATCAGCAGGTTCTCTGGCTTGACGTCCCGGTGCAGGACTCCGCGGCTCTCGCAGTGTTTCAGAGCCGCGATCAGCTGCACCAGCACTTTCTTGGCCAGACCCTCATCCAGACAGCCGTTCTCCTCACAGAAGCTCTGGAGGTCTTGGCAGGGATCCGGACGCTCCAGGATCAGGATGTAGCGTCTGGGACGGTCAAACCAGTCTAGCAGCTGCAGGACGTTGGGGCAGGCAGGAGCTGAATTGACGCGGGTCATCAGTGCCACCTCCAGCGGCAGCCGACCCTGACCTTCCTGCAGGACAAACGATTGGATTCAGAACCCAATGAAACATCAAACACAACAACAGGTTCACACTGAACTCACAACTCTCAGTCTCCTCTGTGTCCGCTCTTTAGACACATACTTGATGGCGACCTGTAGACAGATAAAGCATAATAAATCACACCTGCCTGATCCTCACACATCACATTTACTGAGATCAGGATTTCTAAAGGCTGTTTGAATGAAGAGCGGAGAAAACGACTTACTGGCAGTCCATCAGACCTGCGCATCCCAGCAAACACAGAGCCAAATCCACCGTCTCCCAGCAGTGGGCCCTTTGCATACGCGTCTGCAACACAGAGGAGCAGTAGAAATGTGTGTTCAAAGAAAACATGCAGCAGTAGAGAAAACTGTAAAAGAGCATTACTGAAACATCATCATCACTTCTTCAATAAGCCATTCTGACCTCTGCGAGAGCGTTTGAGAGCTCTTCTAGATGAGGTGGACGGACGTTCATCTTCTGGTGTTTGCTGGCTGCCGCTCTGCCGCTTCCTCTTCCTGTTACCCTGATCTGTGGACACAGATTTGGCCAACAGGGAAGGCAGAGGTGCGAGAACTCCATCAAGCTCTTGGCTCACGGTCTGGGTTTCACCATCACCATCATGTGTCCTGACGTCCTGAACAGCTGCCTGGATGAAAGCAGAACTCCTGGATCTGGAGCGGCCTGAGACAACGACAACAACAACAACAACATATCACGTTTATCATAAGATTATAAGAATTAATCAACAATTAACTTTAGTAGCTGCATCTACAGAGAATAAAAGACATCTGATCACTTATATCGGGGAACAGTTGTGTTGAAATGGGTTCATTTGTACCAGTTTATTTACATCACATTTCCCCAAACATTACACAACATCATATCATGATTGATCATAAACAAATAAAAACTAAAACACTCACTGCGGTTTTCACCCATCTGACAAACTCCTCCAAACTCCAGCAAACCTGAAAACAAGAACAAAGATCAAATATCAATAAAAATGTCAATAAAAACAAGATCAAAATCAAAATAAACACAACAAAAGAGCAACAAAACGTGTCAAAAGGAATAATTTCAGCTCTGAGCGTCGATCTCCTTGTAAAATAAAAGTCTTCTGTCAGAAATTCTCTGGTCTCCTTGAAGAATCGCAGTATCAGCACAGTAATCCTCAGCAAATGTCTCAGAAATTCGCCTCTCCTCAATCAACAGATAGCGGCGAGTCTCGGTGTTTATATATGGAGTCAAATCATAACACGCGTTGCTATAGCAACCACAATTTGAATCGCCAATCTGAATCACGTGAGTAAACGATTCATCTCATCTCAACATATAAATAATAAATAATTAATAATAATAATAAACATAGTTAAAATAATAATTATTATAATAATAATAATAATGAAGTTTAAATCAATTAATTTATAATTCACGAAACTGTAATAATAATGCTAAATGAGCAAGATTGGTTTGACAAGGTTTGACTTTGTAAAATGTACAGCTATTTAGGAATTAATTAAATTAAAATAATAAAATTGACTCATATATTTTCTATTAGTGGCCCAAGCAATGTAAGTGCATGCTGTTTAATTACACGTACAGTGCTAACTGCTCACGTAGATATTAGGAATATAAGTTAAAAAAAGTTTATTATTGTAAATAATAGAAAGTAAATTAAATCGTTCACAATTTCTATGTCTATGCCTATATTTTACAGTCTATGGTCTACGCACGATTTCAGATCACATGGCCGTTTGTATCATCATCTGGTAGGCTACATGGTTCAGTCATATTTATGTACTTTTCATTGGCTCTTGTTTTCAGATTTAATATTATTAAGTTTTATTAATGTTTTCGTTATTTTTGGATGTATGTGAAGGCTTTTTAAGGGACTTTGTGTTCACTCAACGGCTAGAAAGCACAAAAGTTCACCTGCCGAATGAGTTCCCGCGTCTGACCACAAGATGGCGTCCACAGCAGAAAGGTGCAAGTTTATAAATACATTATTTCTGTTTGTATGAATCTAAATAGCTGTTTTCATCACTAATATACAGCTTTCAATAAGCTAAATTACTATCACAAGGTCTGTAATGACAATTAGCTTATACGTTTGCTAGAATTTTCCTAACCTATCTAGCCTTGTTCATTTATATTAAAACAAAAAAAGATTGTATTTTATTCAGAAAAACATCTCTCGTTTGTCATTACGTTTGATGATTTGATGTGATTTGAGCTTCTGAACTTCTGTTAAGGGTGCAAAGTCTGCATTGAAGCGGCCTGATTTTATACACCAGTTTACAGTAGTAAAAATATATCAAAGTTAATTAAAGTAAACATATTAAAGGTAAACAGGTCTCTATTTTTTGAATGTAGTTAAAAATTATTTATAAAATGAATAATATGATTAATAATATGAT